CGACTTGCATCTATAGATTTACAGTATGTAAAGCCCTTAGAATGTATAGCTTTTAGACATTTTGCTAATTAAAGCTGGGGTACCTAAATTTCAAACCACACATGAACAGAACTATGTATAGGAAAATCCATCTCAGTAAAAAGACAGTCTGTTTAGAAATGTTGAATAGATTTTTGGTTCTGGTTGAAGCTGGGGTAACTTTTCCATAAATAATACATTTTGTTTGTCCCAACAAAACAGGCCCTGAGTAAATTTTGTGATAATAAATCAGACGACAACAGACTGTTTTTACTCATTCATAAAAAAAAGAAATATCTTTTGAATATTTGTGCAAAACAGAGCTTAAGCCCGAAAAGGTTCTCAGCCCAAAGTTTGTTTACAGATCATCCATATCTTCTGTGGCTATTATTTTGTTTTAACCTTTTTACCTTTTTATGGTATTCTGAGAAAATTATTTTTTTCTCGTTTATGTTAATGTTTGGTTTTGCTTGGATTCAACCAACACTGAACCAAATATACCAAAAGACTGATTTAGAAAGGTTTTTGACAGATTACACTTAGTTATTATAATGACTTTTTTTTTTTGAGAATAAAAAGAAATGAGGCCACAGTAGTGCATATTAAGTCACAAACCTTTTTTGGAGGTTGTCTCACATTCATTTAAATAAGCAGTGTGTACAGTCTGAGGTTGACAACAGGGAAGGGTCCCATAGAAATGTGAATCGGGCCGCATGTGGCACCCAGGCCGCAGTTTTACCAGGTCTGAATAAGATGGATGAATTACATAAGTGAATGACTCATAGATGAACACCCACAGAGCAAACATGAATTTGTTATTCATGAATTACATGTATATCAAGAAGCTAGTATGTAAGACAGTGTTTGTGCCGGAAGAACCCATCATGTAATGTGAAGACGAGATGGTGCTAGGCACTTACTGTTATCGTCAGTTCCTATCGCAGGTGTCATTCAGTCATGTATATCATGGTTATTTTGCATGAAAGTAACCATGCTATTGTACATAGGGCAGGTACTTATGAGCTTTCTTGCTTTGGCCTACTCCATTTGAGCTGTTATTAATGTCTCGTTTATGTATAAATGCACATCTTATTTGTAAATGCTCTAATAAATCAAAATTGAATTAAATTTTTTGTAGCATAAAATGCCATCTTTTTAGAATGCTGTATATAATCAGTTCTTTTTTTTTTTTACTTTTTTGGAGTTTTCTGAGCACGGATAATACTGATTTCTTGCATTGATCAAAATCCTCCCTCAGTGAAAAGACGTTTGGACATTCGTGTCTTCTAAAATCATCACATAAAGCTGGATTATTGTGCCTCTATTGATAGAAATGCCTCTGTAATATTCAGTAACTCTTATGAAACAATAGAAACGCATTGAGCGGATAGAGGATTGTGTGTGAGAGCGAGGAGAGAGCAGACATGTTTGTTTTCACGCTGACTGGCCCCCCGCTGTGAAGCCAAAATAAAGCCAGGCAGACTGAAGGCACAGAGGCATCTTTGTGTGCCGAGTCTGCGCCGTAATATATGTGGAGAAAAGCATTTCAAATTACCCTTTTTCTTTCTTTTTATCACGTTTTAAAAATGTTGCGTCATCAAACAGATACCTGGAGTTTTTCTTCTCATTGGTTTGATAATCTGGTAAGTTATAGGAGGGGATGTTTTCTAACGACAAATGTGCAAAATAAAAAGAAATATTGAGATTTTTTTTGTACTAAATGCGTTGACACAAGAAAACAAAGCTGCAGTAGAATCTATATTTTGGGTCACTATTTATGCTCCTCATTCCGTAGGTGATGCAACACTGACATTTCCCCTCTGTGGGATGAATAATGGATCTCTTGATCTTAATATTTTGGTAAATAAGTCGATTGATTGTTTCCTCACATTGTTCCCTCATCAAAAACACACCTAACATTGTTTTTAGCTCCATCTACGCTAATATCACTGACACAAACATGTTCCCCATGCCTTCTGACCACTGTCAACTAAAATCAGATCTAAATTTACATTTCTTTTTAAAACACAAAATGACATGGTAAATTTCAGATCATTTTAACGGCCATTCTTATTATAAAAAAGCACTGAAGAAACCATGCTGATACTACAAATGTGACGTGATCATTGTGACAACCTTTTTCAAGAGGAAACATGGTGCATTTAATTTTGCTGCGTAAATGAAATGACTTGTGCTGCTACTTTGAAAATCACAACATCATTTGACATTACTGTGATAAACAGTATGTATAAGAAATTTTTTATTTACAATTTCTGTTAGGAGATGCATTTGAAAACTTCACACGGCTCAAACTGATGTACCCATGCATGTAGACCAGGACCAGACTGATCAGACCGATTTGTGAGCAACACCATGAAGTTCGTTTTTATACGTACTCAGAATTCTTATGTTTTGTAAACGTGCTCATTTTGGATACGCTTTGAAAATGAATGTAATAGGGTTGTATCTGGTCATCCAAGATGAGACAAAAGCTACTTCTATAATGACATACTGGAAAACAATGTAATTTGAATCAGGACAAATACCAAATCTTCTGCTAATTTGGTCCGTCTCAATCTTGCTGTAATTCCATCTCAATCTTTATAATTCAAAGCATCTTTGGGTTGACTAGGATGCCATCGCTGGATCAATCGCCCGGAAAGCCTTATAGAATGCAAGTCAATGTCATGTCCCCACGTGGCATGAAAACATAATCAGACAGAGAGAGGGGGAATCGCTGACTCCTGTGTTTGCGGCTCTTAAACGGCTCTTATGGGACCGGTTTTAATTGCCCCCCCCCCCCCCTTCTCTCTCTCCTCCTCCTCCTCCTCTCCCTCACATCCCCTCTGAGTCTGGGTCTGCACCAGGCTGTATACAACTGCACCATATCGACTGCTGTGGTTTGAAGAGGGGGGGGCTGCTGTCACTGCTAATGAATAGATGCATAAATGAATGAGCCACTCTCCAACACCAGTGTGCTACGTTAGAGCCGCCGGATTTTGGAGGAATATTTAACTACTCCCGCATTTGTTAAAATCTTACGCCTTGGTTACTTGAAGTCAGCGTTTTGTGAGAAAGAAGCTGGACAGTAAATTCAGTGAATATATGTTGCAAGACTTTGTGTGTGTGTTTTTCGGAGCCTGACGATACAGATCTAGAAACAGGGGACTCTGTAAAATTTGATATATTTATAAATGATTCAATACGATTCAGTAAGAAATAAAGGCTTTTGGCCCCTTTTAATAATAATGATAATACATGTTATTTATGTCACACCCAGAGATTTTGTGCTACAGTGGGTGCAGTGGGTTTAAAAAACACAAGATACATTAAAAAAACAAGAACTGCATGGAACTGCATGATCCCGATTAGCAGCCATCTTAGCAGCACAATTGGCCCTGTTACGGCGTGAAGGAAATATACATTAATGATAATAAACAAATAGGAGCCAATGGTCCATAGGAAGCAGGATGGTCAATGTCCACCATGCTTATTGGGCATGCTGTAACTGTTCCATTGGACCAAACGTGAAGGCAATCTAAAAATATTAATCTGGACCAACTTTTCACTTTTCAACTCTCATAGAGAATTCATTGTTTTTATCTGATGGAGATGATCTCAGATGGATTCCAGTTGCAATGTCTGAACATGAGGTTTTGATTTGGACCCTGGATGAATGAAAGATACACTCCTTGTCTTATTTTAGTGTAGTTGCAATTGTGCTATACAAATAAACTTGCCATGCTGTTGACCACACCATTATTTGTCAATGTATTGACTGAATATAAGCATTGTAATTCTTGTTATATTTGTGCAGAAATCTCTTCAACCAGCTAAATATTTTATACTTTAAGGCACATAAATGTGCCTTAAAGTATAAAATATTCCCTAAATTATAATAACAAGTAATTGTTAGTCTGACTGGAAATTATATTTTTTATGAAAGACTGAAACATCCTTAAAAATATATACAATAACCTTTATACATTCAAAAGCATGGTAAAAACGAAGATTGCTTTTTTGCCATAATTGTAGTTGTTGCAAAAGTTCTCAATTATCTCAAGTATTTCTACTTTTAGTTATATATCTACCTTTTAAATTTGAAACTCTTGATGGACAACTGAACAAACAAGTTACATTTCGAAATAGGAAAACAAAATGGGAATGTTGCTTCAGGCTTAAAAATGTGGAAGTGGTTTCGGATTCAGCTCGTTCTGAAATCTATTCTTGTTCATGTATTTAGTTTCTTCCCAACAGTCACTACACAAACTACTGCCATGAAGGAATCCTCTTTATATTCTACAGCGGTGGAAGAACATGTAGTTTTGTTATTTTAGATGAGAAGAGTCGCTGGAGGATTTAGGAACAACTTATATCTGACAGCGAGTGGAGAAAGTGCAAAGTACAATCAAAGTTTTCCCATCAGTTTGTCCCCAGTGGAAAAAACGAGCTTCTGTTGAGCCTCATTGGATGTTTGGCTCGAGGAGCCTGAGACTCGCACATAAAGGCCGACAGTGGAATGGACCAACTCCGTAACACTGGAGTCTGAGCAGTTTGAACATAGTATTTTTATTATACACACAGTCAAAAAGAAAAATACATAAGTCAAATAATTACAATAAGGTCAACAATTGACAAAAAAATTATAAAATAGTTGAAATAATGCAATAAAAGAATAATTAAAAATATAAAAATACATTTGATTAAATTATGATGATAAAATAAGAATCAAATAATGATCATTATTGAAGATTTATAAATAAAAATAAAAACAAAAATCTATAAAATAATATAACATAAATTCAATTCAATTAAATAAACAATAAATATGGGGAATGATAAAAGAGAGATAAAATTGGATAGATTGAATCCCACAAATACTTTGATAGTTATGGGTCGACATGTTCACTTCATAACCATCCAGATACATCTTGTACTATCGATGTTATAATCTCCTTCACATGTTTTTGTCTGTTTTGCAGGAGATCGCAGCGTATCTCATCACATTTGAGAAACATGAGGAATGGCTGACGACGTCGCCCAAAACCAGGTCTGTCACCACACTACCAAACGATGATGAGTTTGTCTGTTCTTGTTTTTACCATGAATTATAGTTTTACACCAATTGGATTTGGTCCTGTGACAGCACATTACAAAGAGCCTATAGTTTCACAATGTGGTGGAGGGCAGCTGGAATATATTTTCTGGTATTTATGGTAACAGTCAAAAGTCTTAGTTTAGCTAATTTCTCTTTAATTCCTGGGCCAATCCACATTTGTCAGCAACTATGGTCTACGGTAATTATTATTATTAAAAAATATGAATTGTTAAGGTGTCTAGAAGTGGTGACAATATTCAAAAACATATTGTATTCATGATGTTGGCCAGTAAAAAAGGCTTTCAGACATAAGAATAATAATATCTGAGACAAGGCCAGCAGATGCAATTAAGAGCACAGGGGAAAGCCCTGGTGATATTAGAAATGTGTGTAGATTTAGTGAATCTTATCACTGTCAAATAATCTGGGGGAACAAAGTTGTTTAGACACCATTCCGCCATCTGAAATAGAATTCTAGAATATAAACACAACCTATATTGAAGTAGATTTGAGCTCTAGAACTCTGGAGGTTCTGTATTTATTATGAAACTTGGCACAATATAAAACAGGCACCTTTTGTGACTCTAATGAATAACAAGGTTAATTACAATGCTAGTAAATGTCCATAAATGTCCTTAAATGTCCCGGATCATCACTGTCCTTGGAGCCTCCTGCATCGGCAAGGAACAGCTCAAAAGAAAACCAACGGGAGAAAGTGAGAAAAATTGGAGAGGCTGACATTGAGAGAGGGATCCACTCCCACGGACAGACAAGCTGAAGTTCAAGGACTCTGGCTGTAGAATGAGGACTTAGGAGGCTCCCTGGCAGGGAGGACTGGTGACAGCTTCTGATGCGTCTCGCCTCAAGAGTCTCTCCCATGTGGAGTTCAGGAGGATGAAGGAGTGGATTATGAACAATATTTGAAAAAATGCCAAAAAAATTGGAAAATAATTCAGTCAAGTTGGCCTATATATGTTAATCTGAATGTCCAAATCTATATATTTGATAGCAAAAGAGCGAATGTTGTGTTTGTCCTAAACAGTTTTCAGTAAAAAGCTGTTATTTAATGGTGGTTTAAGTGAATGGAACACAGTGGACTACAATATATTCATTCACACAGATGTTTTATGGAGATGAGTCCAGAGAAATCCCTGTTATCCCTTGTACCTGTTCTCATCTGCAGCTTTTGAACGGTTGAGTCTTGGTTAAACAGGAAAACCTCATGCAGAGCTGGTGTTTGAAGAGTGTCTGTGTGTGCGTGTGTGTGTGTGTCTGTGTGTGTGCGCGCTTGTGGATGTGTGTGAAGCCCCAGTCAGCGCTAAACCATATTAATAAATGTAAATGTGTTCGGATCAGTCATGTTTAATTCAAATGAAGTGATGTGGAAGGGAGGTGCTGTGGACGGAGAATGTTCAGCAGAAAAACTGGACACATTTAGGAACACCTGCTCTGGTCACTTCCATCCATCCATTTTCTTCTGCTTTATCCATTGCCGGGTCATGTGAGCAGGAGTATGGTCAACACTCAAAGACGCTTCACATGTCACTATTCTTTCACTCGATACACACTGGTGATAAACTAATTCTGTAGCCACAGCTGCCCTGCGGCACACTGACAGAAGCGGCAACCAGTATGTGCCAACAGCCCCTCCGATCACCACCAATCATTCACACCCACATAAAACTCATTCTAGGCAATGTGGGTGAAGTGTCTTGCCTAAGGAGACATCAACAATCACAGTACTAACCGGGCCTCGCCCCGAAACAGCTTCAGGGGCCTGACAGGATCTGATTTTTGCATACAAGTTTGGCCACATATGGTCTGGCATGTCTTGGTCTTGAACAGGGGCTGTGTACAAAGTTGCCAAAAAAGGAAAGATGCCTTGTGCCAGGTTCAAGAAAAACTAGTCCCTGGGCAGGTTTGTTTTCAACTGAAAACAGACTAAAAACTAAACATTGTCTAAAGAAGTCCATGCAGAGAAGTCCATGCAGAGAAGTCCATGCAGAGACGTCCAGACTTCCCTCTCCACACACACGAGCTCCATCAGCTCATTCGGGGAAATCCTGAGGCTTTCCCAGGCCAGCTGTGTCCCAGAATTCCTCCAGCATGTCCTGGGCCTTCTCCCAGTGGAACATCTGGAGTGGCTGGGTGATAGGCAATAAAGTAAAATGTCGATTTTATTGCCCCATACGGCCCAGTGCATTTTGGAGATCCTGGTTTGATTGTGTTCCTTGGAGTGACCTTTGGGTTGGTTCTGGGCCCCTTTTTGCTGAGGGATGTCCAGTCCCTGTATGACCAGAGATGTGCTCCCATGGAATTTGGTGATTATTTCGGTGTATTTTGGTATATCAGTTCTCCGCGTTTACAATGCATAACAAAGCAGTTAGTTAAGTAAGTAATCTTTATTTATATAGCGCATTTTCACAGACCAAGGTCACCAAAGCGCTTGAACTCAATGTTCAGAGTTCAGATATTATTCCATTCTCTCCACACACTGTTGAAGCGAGACGCATCAAAGCCCCCAACTGACACCATCCATTCACTCTATCATTACATTCATACCTATTGTGCATGTTTTTAGTGGTAGGGGAAACCGGAGCACCCGGAGGAAACTTGTCTCAACACTTTCCATTATTCCCTAAACTTTCTAACTGTGATTGTGTTATTCAATAAAATGACATGCACTATAAACACATGGCCTGCAAAAGTAATCACACAACATCATGTTTACTTTGGACGTTTGATTCTCACACATTCTCAGCTGCAGCAGAAATAATTGAATTTCTGTAGAGCTCTTAAAAGCATAATGCTTCCAGTTATGTTGTGTTGTTGCTTTGCGTGAGAAAAACAAAACATGTGCAGCGGGGGACTCTGCACTGATTTTGAACAATATGAGCCTAAACCCGTCCAAATACATATATATATTAAAAGCTTGTCTTCTCCCTTTGCTCTTAAATGCAACACTGCCCGATGTCTCATAAGTATCCAATTTACGTGTTTCCATGCAGCTTAACCACAAGCTCCAAACAGACTGCTTTCTATTACTCAATTGGTGCATCCCAATTTAAATGCATCTTTATCAATCAGATTAAACTGAAGTAGGTGGAGGATTTGTTTTTTTTAAATAAAATTACCCTCTGCTCTTTCTCTCTTGTTGTCAGCCCATCATCTCCCCCCCAGTTCTTGTGTTTGTAAAATTGTTACCATTTCAGTTTGGTTTTGGATGTTTTGAATGCTTTGGACTTTTTCTTGAATTCATTAAATATAATAATCATATTTTTCAGTCCTGCATTTCATAAAATAGCTGAAAACTCTGACATACAAGTGTTACTCCCCAATGATAAAAGTACACTTACGCGTCCACTACCTCCTCATAAAAAGCCTTATTTTTAGACTTCCGCAGAACTCCCACTTGTCTGCAGACTGATATAACGGTGAGAGTGCAGGTCCCGGTGTGAGGGGGATTAGACCCTGATACCTGGGGCTGTTTTGGTCCAGCTATATGTCTGGATATCCCAGAGGCTTCGCTGATTCGGGAGTTGGACTTTTCACGATTGGCACTGCTGCTTTTGCCTCATCCCCACAGCAGCAGGTGGAGGAAGGAGCCTGCGACAAGATACAGAGTTTAGATTTAATCCCATTTACACGCGACGGGAGATTACAAATAATCCAATCAGACGGGAACGACCAGGAGTGACTCTGAGCAAAGCTATGTCTGTAAAAGTTTGAGGGTTATCTCTATCTACCTCTTACTATATGTTCACAAGCACAGAGATCTCAGACGGAACTATACTTCCCAAAAACTGCAAGTCCAAGAAAATTGTATGTTTTCCAATAGTAGTAGTAGTAGCTGTCATATTGTGGCTTTGTGGTGAAGAATATGTTGTATCAGAAAACATTATTCTGTGAGTAACAACCAACTTCACTCTTTCTTAAAGTTGGGTTACCGAACTTTCAAGTATGAATAAGACTTGATGATTTCTAAAGGGATGAAGAGAGCATGTTTTGGTCTGATTCATTACTCATTCTAATTTAACAAGAGTTTTTCTGTTGGGACAAAGACATTCAAACAAACCAGACATACAAACAGTTAGGTACCCCAGTTTTAAGTTGCACAGTAAGCATAGCTCACACTAAGCTTCTCCGTCTCGCCATGGTAGATTAAAGCATTTACCTTGGCTTCCTTGTTTAGGAGTAGTGGTTCTTCTGGTACCCCCTCCGCTGTTTCCAGTTCACTCCTCTTTGTTAGAATCACTAGTATTGTTCCCCATTGGCCTCGCACAGTAGTATGTCCAACAGCCCTAAATAGTAGCGCTCCATTCCCTGTGTTTGAACATGCTGTCGCAATGGTATTTCATACAATGTGATATTCTCAAGATCATGTTTGCAGGCCGCGAATGAAAAAGATGAAATCAAATGGTGCCATGGGACTCACGCTCAGATCAGCAGTCGAACGGCCCCCTGTAATAGAATATTAATCTTCTGTAATTAAAATTGACCTAAAATGTTTAATTAATTTCTGTATTGATTCCGGTTCCTCGCTCCTCAGACTGCAGAGGGGAAGAGGAGGAAGAGGAGGGGGGGTTTAAACTGTACAATCATGTAACAGATCAACACACTGAGGTTAACATTGAACCAAGACTTATTGACGAGAACAGAACAGGACATGTTTTTCACAAACCCGATGTCCTCTGTGTCTCCTTGCAATCATTCAGTCTACAATACACACATACACTTCTAACTAGCTGCTAATAAGTGCTTTAGGCTACATCCACACAAAGTCAAAACGTTATTCGGTAAAAACACGGGGTCAGCTCAATAAATGTTTGCGTCCATATGAATGAAGTCAAAATGCTGTGAAACTATGCTTGGGCTGTTGGTGGCGCTGCAGCGTAACGGGATCAAGGCCAGATCTCTCTTATTGGATTTAACAAGCAGGCTCACTTGTGCAG